ACAGCAGCAACAACTACGCCACGAGGCTGACCAACCCAAGCATGCACATGCAGTCGAGTTCTCTCGATTTCGCTCGCGAAACCGAGAGCCAGGTCGGCCATTTCCTAGGCTGCTTTCCTGACTCCTAGCAAGAACTCATCTCATTACTTCCCCCACTTCATTTAATCCGATACTAAGGTAGCCATGCATTACAGTAATTTGCTTTCCAATTGAACATTGAATGTCGTCTGTCATATAAAAGGTTTCTGCAAGATCCGCAAAGCTGAGTCTGTGATATGAAGAAAGGGGAGATAGTCCTCTCCCAGTTTATTGAGCTGATTATAGGTACAGTTCTACTTGTTTGACCGCTTCTCGACTCTTAGTCGTTGTAAACTGGCTTTGAATGATAATAGCCATCTTAATTACAATTAACAGTCAAAGGTTTGTTACTATATTGTTTCACATTTGTTGCTGTCGGTTCGATATTGTACTTCTTTGTGGTCTCCTGATGCATTCTGTTGACCATCGGGCTTGTAACAGGAACTGGCCCTCCTGTTATTTGCCATTTGCCATTTGGTCAGTGATAACTTTTGCTACTTGCTAAAAAGACGAGGAAAAAAAGGACTCTTCTCATGAGATCTATCGGTGAAAGTTTTGATCTTGAATCTATATCTTGATTTGTTTTATAGAGTATTACCATAGAGAGATAGATTTCAATAAATGATTTTAGCTATTTAGTGAAAGTATATAAATCTGCTAGTTACTATCTTTCAAATTCAACCTATTAGGAAGTTTCATTTCACAAGGACAAAGCATTAGAAATGGCCTAAACAAGTACATGTTTGTAGTTATGTGATTTATTCTTAGTGAGTTCTAATAACTCATAGATGTACTAGTAAGTATGGTGCTACTGTCGGTTAGCTTTTTATCTCAGTAGATTAGTTAATGTCATGTTTTTAAGTGATAAAATTATTGGCCTAAAGACAAGTATCCATTATTAATAGTGGTAACTTCTCGAACCTTTATCCACTTAGATTTTTGGGTTGCGAAAGTCTTCTATACGAGGGGAGGCGACGCGACAAGTGCAATGGGCTTAGGACGCTCGCCGGTAGCTAGGCCGTAACCGCCGCCTCCACAATCCTAATCCCTTCCACTCATTAGCGACCGCTACGCTTTTATTATTGTTTAGGTTCTTAATTTTTTTTTTGCCTTATTTATTTATTCAGTTATTCAACATCGATAAACGAATTGCAGCAGATCGCCAATGTCACATTATCTATACATCAATGTGGCACTGATGCAGTCTGTCACATCAGCCTTTTTAGCGAAAAGACTAACACGAATAAATAAAAAAAGAAAAATTATCCAAAAAATTTTAAACATGTTATGTTTTTGTCAATTCAATCATAAACATTTCAATTTTGTCAATTGATTCATAAATATTTTCACATTTTACCAATTGAGTCCATCCGACCAATTCTAGCCGGAAATCACTGATGTGGACGCGTGCCGTTTTATGTGGCACGACCGGCGTTGATGTGGACAACTTTTTTATAATATTTTAATATTTTTTGATATTTTTTATAATTATATTTTTCTTTTCTTTCTTTTTCTTCTCCAAGCCGGCGAGGGCTAGCCGACCCTCGCTAGACTTGATAAAAAAAAAGGAAAAGAAAGAAAAAACATTAAAAAAAATCAATTTTTTTCTAAAAAAAATCAATTTTTTTCTAAAAAAATTTATAACAAATTGTACACGTTAGCACGGGCCATCCTACATGGCACTACCAGCATCCACGTTAGCAATTTCCGGTGAAAATTGACTAAATGGACTCGATTGGCAAAACGTGAAAAAATTTTAAGATTTAATTGGCAAAATTGAAAGATTTATGATTAAATTAGCAAAAATACAATAAATTTAGGACTTTTTGGACAATTTTCATAATATTGTATAAAAACCCAATTCACTAGAAGAAATTTAAAGACCAAATCGAACAAATCTAAAAAGTTTATAAACTACCGATCCCTTTATCCCGGTTAAAGTTTCAAATCTCCACTGGAATATGGTGTGTATATTTGTATAGCTCGACATCATTCCCCTATCGAATAGTATAGCGATTAGAAGTTCCAAGTAGGGGTGTCAAAAAAGCCCGGGCCGACCTGGGCCGACCCGATCCAAAATTTTATGGTCTTTTGGGGTCAGGTCTTGGTCTTCTTTAGATAAGGGTTTTAGGTGTGGGTAATTGTTAGGGTCGGGCTGGGCTGGGTTGGGCTTTTTTTTACCTTGGCACCAAATATAACTCATCTAGAACAGCCCTTCCCCCCCCCCCCCCCCCGGTCCTCTCTCTCTCTCCCCTTCGCTCTCTTCTCTCTCTGCACGTGCGCGACCAAGAAACCCTAGCTCCTCCTTGCCCTTACAACCTCTCAAAGGCGTGCGAAAAGCTCGAGTTCGAGTTCGTGGCAATGGCGACCGTGAAGTTCACGAACATGGCTGTGGTGGCCTTCATCCTCGCCCTCGCGGCGCTCACCGTGACCGCCCAGGTCGAGGCCCTGGCGCCGAGCCCCACCTCCCTGGCGAGCTCTGTCTCCCTATCGATCCTCTCTGTTGGAGCAGTAGCCGTTCGGCTCTCGTCTTTGGTTCCGCACTCAGGATCTAAAGCAACGCCGAGCTTTGGAGGTCGTCCTGTCCTTTAGGGATGTCAAAAAAGCCCGAGCTTCGGAGGTCGTCATGTCGGCGCTCTTGATGACGGTCTTGCGGTCGGCGGCGGCAGTGGAGGTCGACGAGGGCTTCCGAATGTCGGAGCCGGGCTTCGCCGCCGGGGGCTTGGGCAATTTCTTCTTGGACTCGGCAGCGGCACTCATTTTTCCGGAGCTACTCCCGTGGGCCTTCTTGGGTGGTGATTGGGTGGAGGGAGCAGTGCTCAACTGCTACTGCAAATGCAAAGAGAGAGAGACAGAGGAGGAGGTACAGAACAAGCTGCAGAGAACAAAGCAGCTATCTCTCTCTCAACGATGGCTCGAAGATTGGTCCCTATTAAATAAAAAAAAAAGCCTAAACCCGACCCGGACTGACCCGACCCGACCATATTTTTGGAGTATATGCTAAACATGATCTTGGGTCGGGTTGGGTCGGGTCAAGCGCGACCCTGTATATTTCGGGTCGGGTCGGATATCATGAAAGCCCGTCCCGTCCCGACCCGACCCGACACCCCTAGTTCCAAGTACATGACGAGACCCCGCGGCTTGTGTTTTCGATGAACGTGACCATTCATTTTGTGATTTTATTTCAAAATGTTTATATTTATTTTACTTGAATTGTCATATTCTCAGCTAAGAAGAACGAAAATATATAAAAGCGATGGCGTGCACCTCTAATCTTTACTTAAAAACCCCTTTAGGAAAAAGCTCCTTTTAAGCTCCTCTACACTAACGCAAAGGTTAATGTGATTCCATCAATTGAAAACCTACAAAAAGCCGGGCCCAAACTCTTTTGAAAAGAACCAACTTTAACTTAAATTCCAATTTTAATTCGAACATTGTTTTGTCTCGTAAAAAAATTATCAACTTTATCTCGGGTCCCAATTCTGGCCTACACTTTTTTTTATGTCAAACACAAACTTTCAGTCGATACCCAAGTCTAGTCTCGTCAAGTCTCCGTTGAGTATTCGCCGAGTACACGTGAAAAACATCATTGCACGAAAACTTGAAGGGGGCCAAATTTGGGTACCGACTAAAAGTTGGTGTTTTTTATGAGACAATAAAAAGTTTGAATTAGAGATTGAAATCCGACTGAAAGCTAGAAGCTTTTTTTATGAGACAAAAGAAAGTTTTAACTGGAATTGGGACATAATCTAAAGTTTGTGTTAATTTTACAAGACAAAAAAATTTGAGGCCAAAATTATGACCCGACTTAGAATTGGTGCTTTTAAAGGAAATTAGGCCCGAAAAGCCGAGAAAGATCATCACATCACATAATAACGTAGACTTCACGGACCAAAGTGCGACAGAATCGAACACGCTTCAAAGTCCCCAAAATGCCTGCAAAAACCTTCGCATGTGCGACGCACGTGAGGTGCTTGAGCGGGGTCAAGCAGAAGGGCGGAATTGCAACGAATTGGAAAATGTCAAAGGTCAAAATGATAGATTTCGAAGGTTAAAGACGGGAAAGGGAAAAATTCCAAATAAAAGCTTGAAGTGCCATCATTTTCTCAAATAAGGATCTGAAGTGAATATTATTTCAAATAAAAATCTGAAGTGTACTTATTTTCTTAAATAAGGACTCGAATTAGACCTTATTTCAATTAAGAACCTGAAGTAACCATACCAATCTAAAAAAAAAGGTTTGATCTCACCAATTAATTAAGAGCATTTTCGTCCTTTATTCATTTTATTCTTTCCCATTTCTTTTTTACCATTTTTTTCTCCATCACCAACCGGCGAGGGCTCGGCTGGCAACCGGCTAGGGTCGCAGCTTTCATTAGCCTCGGGCGAGATGACCCTCGCCCAGATCTAGTGAGAGCAGCCCTTGCCAAATCGGGCGAGGGTCCATCAACCCGCAGCCTTGCTTGGGCGAGGCAACCCTCGCCCTACCCAGGCGAAGGCTAGCCGCGCCCTTGCCTAGTGTCTGGTGAGGGTCATCAGGCCCTTGCTGCCAGCGATGGAGGAAAAAAAAAGAAAATAAGAAAAATAAATAAAATGACAATAATGCCATCGATTCGTTGGTAAAGTCAAGCTCTTCAAGCTTTTATTTTAAACAAAATCCGCTTCGGATAATTTATTTGAGATAATATTTATTTCAGGTATTTATTAAAAAAAATGAGTGTACTTCCAGTTCTTATTTGAAATTTTTCCATACGAAAAAAAATGTAACATCGAGCGAAATTAGGACAACGGTCGTAATTTGTTGTGTTTAATTTCGAACCACGAAAAACCCGTTTCATAACTTTCATGCCCCCGCCGCCCGATGCACGACCTCTGAAAAGTCAACAAATCGCCTCCGAGTCCCCCATCGAACAGGGTTTCCCGTTCGCCAGTTCAAAAAGAAAAAAAAAAAAATTTCGCGAACTCTTGATTCTCTCCTTCGGGGATTCAACCTCCATCGTTTTCTCCCTCTCGATCGATCGATCGATCTGATGATGCCGGCGATCATGAATCCGATCGGCCTCCAGATCCATCCCCTATGAGCAATCCGATACGCCTGCTGCGCCCACCCCGATCCGGAACCGTTCTCTCATGGCGGCGCCGAGGAGCGTGATCGTGGACATGGCGAGGCTGCTGAGGGACGGCGAGGCCGCCGCCGCCGCCGCCAAGGGGGAGGAGGACGACTCCCCCACCGGCAAGGGGCCCAAGCCGGAGCGGTTCCCGCTGTCGCGTGGGGAGCTCGCGGTGTTCGCCGGCGTCTTCCTCTTCTTCGCCGCGGGGCTGTTCTGCATCTACAAGACAATGCCCGCCGCCGAGTACGGCAGAATCAAGCTCCCCCGCACGATTTCGGATCTCCGCGTCCTCAAGTAGGCCCCAATTGCCTTCCGTTCCCCGTTTTCTTGTGTCGGTGCTCGTTCCGTGCGCTTGTTTTTTTTTGGCTTTGTGCTTTGATTTGTCGACGGATTTGTAATGCGATGGGTCATTGCCGCGCGTTGCTCGACGACCGAATGACTAATGTGATGAGGGGTCGTAATGCGAGTGTGGCCGAACGCTGTTCGTGCTTAATTTCAATTGCCTGTGGTGCGCCATGAATGAGCATCCCCTGAAATTTGGGTCTTGAATATACACTCTTGTGGTTTGATGTGTATTCATGGTTTCGCAAGAGGGAAAAGGCAAATTAGAGAAAAAAGAGGACGACTTCTCCATGTTCGAGTTTTGTTTGGTTGTGTGATGTTAAAAACGACTAATGAGAAAATGGAGTTGTGCTCCTTTCAGGCTCTAGTTTGAGCTCAAGGTTTGAGTCTGGAGTATCTGTTGGAAGGAGCTTTAGCACCGGAATTGCTTTCGTGTTCACTAGTCTTGAGATATAAGACGACGACTACTACTTTGTCTTAGATGGATGATCATTCTTGAAAATTTGGAAGTTTTGTGTGTTCTGGCTTCTTTTCCGCATACTACAGGTTCATTTTGTATAGTTGTGTCCATGTCGTAGTTCTATAGTGTTGTGACTGTGCTATGACACAAATGTTACAGCACCCCTTTTTACAGCTGTAGGTGTTGTAGAATAGCTAACTCAACACTAGTTCTTAATGCACATATGCTTCAGTTTCTGTTCTTTTATTTGTCGTAAAGTATTGCAAGATCAGTATGATTCATTCAGACGAGTTCTCAAATACTGCTTATCTGATTCAGCTTCTCTAACTAATGCTTTTGTCGATCCAGAGATGATCTCTCACTGTATGCTAAAGAGTACCCAGCAAAGTTCATTCTCGGTTACTGCTCAACTTACATCTTCATGCAAACTTTCATGATACCTGGAACAATCTTCATGTCCTTGCTCGCTGGAGCTCTTTTTGGTGTCATAAGAGGCCTTTTCCTAGTTGTCTTCAATGCCACAGCCGGAGCATCTTCATGCTTTTTTTTGTCCAAATTGATAGGCAGGCCCTTAGTGAGTTGGTTGTGGCCTGAGAAGTTGAGATTTTTCCAAGGAGAGGTATGTTTCATTTTATCTTGACGTCGTAAGATTGTTTTGTCTAGATTTTGTTTGTGACAATAGCTTCAAGTCGGCACTAATGGACATTCTGTTGATGCAGATAGCAAAGCGCCGGGAAAAGTTGCTGAATTATATGTTATTTCTGAGGATAACACCAACACTGCCCAACCTTTTTATCAATTTGGCTTCTCCAATTGTTGATATACCCTTTCATATTTTCTTTTTGGCAACAGTAATTGGTCTTCTTCCAGCCTCTCTCATAACTGTCAGAGTAAGTTTTCTCTCAACATTGGACCTTTTTTTAGTAGAAAGCTAGAATTGTCAGGCTTAATAGTGAGGTTGTTCTCTTGGTTGGGGAGTATACATTCTCTTGCGATGCGTACTCTCTTGGGTTTAGTACAAAAACAAGATGATATGTGCGCCAAACCTGTTTTATTCGGGTAATGGTTAATTAATGCATGGTGACTAGCTCTTGAAGGAGCTCCAACGCTGCATTATTCATTGTTGTACCCCACGGTAAATCTTTGGATGTTCCTTCTGTGGATGAATACGAATTTGATCTTCTAATATCTAAAAGATATATTTTCTGCCCATTGACTCTCGCTATATCTCATTGGAAAGGAAAATTTTCACATGGGAAGTGTGGAGATGGCTCCTCATAGAGTGGCACACTGGGCAGCGTCAAAATTTTTTTGGTGCTGCATTGCACATTTGATGGATATATGTCAGATATGAGCTTGCTTCCCCTTTGCTTATTGCTTCCTGAACATATTAAGGGTAGAGTGTATGAAGTAATCTCATCAATTGGTCTTATGTCTTTGGCTAGATCTTTATAATGCTGAAATGTGTAGTTATGAAATTCCTGTTTTCATGTTTATTTACTGCTGCTGTTGCTCTTCTTATCATCAGGCTGGCCTTGCTCTTGGAGATCTTAAGTCAGTTAAAGACCTATACGACGGGAAAACTCTGTTGGTGCTGTTCCTGATCGGCTTGCTTATCATAATCCCCACCCTCTTCAAGAGAAAACGAACTTATGAATGAGTCATAAGTGATAAGCCCCCTGTGAAATGTTGTCGGAAACTGCCAATCTGGGGACTGCTGAGACTGGGATGAACTGAAGATCCAGTGGCTTAAGTCTCGATCGTCTTTGTTGGAGTTCAGCTAAAAGGCAGCTCTTAACCCCATATTGTGACCCACAAGTCGACTATGGTCCCCCACACCTATAGCAATACAAATTAAACCCAGACGTAAAACTGTAACTTGTACTGCTCCTTTTATGTCTGTCCAACAATATATGAGCACGAGGTATAATGTGGCAATTGGAGCCCTCACATTTTTTGCAGGGGTTCACTGTTGTACTCCTTTTCGATGGAATGATGCTAAGGATTCTAGTTTATCTGATGCTAGTGAATTATAATGTAATAGCATCATGATCTCCGCGAACAAGGTGGACATGCAGCGGTGACTCCTTCAGTTGATTTGATTTACCATTCTTTTTCCCTTATGAGATGACCCGCATGATTTTCCTAGATGCTCAACCATGTGATTGAGTGCAAAATGCTGTTATTGAATTTATCCAGACTCGGATAGAGCCTCGGAACCCACATGTCACAGGGAAGGGAGATTAAGAAATTTCGTGTATACGACTAACAGCTCATCTTAAGTACAAAACGGAATGCATTGTGTAAATTTCTTGGGTTTTTCTCAAACCGAAGAAATAAATTTGAGTAATCTGCATCCCCGAAATGTTGTTATAACAGGCTACTCTCGGCAGCATTATCCGTTCGATTATCCCTCCCTCAAACGTTTACAAAAGGAATAGTTCTTACTTTTGCCATCGCGAGAAACGGAAAGTGGCAAGGTGTTCAAAGAGCTAAGATGGCTCAACCGTAAGCCATTGGAATGCATAAATTGGTTGGGTCTCGCGGAGGTGAGTCATTTAATTCTGCAACATGATGATCAAGTGATAGACGTTGAGGTTCTCTCACGAGTTCTTATTTGGATCAGGTGAGCAAAACACATCAGCCAATCGTTAATTCCTGGCTAAGTTGGAATAAGGATCATCTTCAGGTTCAGGATACCACCAAAAGCAAAATACTCTCGAGCAAATGCTGTGCCGAAAAGAACGAAAAAGATGGTTTAGCAAATGCAGTAACAACTTGTTTCAAGGAACCAAATGGATTAAAATGGTGGTCAGGAAATAAATATATTCAGTTCCCTGTTGCGGAAAGCACAAATACAACAAGAAACCTTACTCCATTGGGCGGAGTACAAAAATTACAACTTCCTAAAGTTGGCTTGAGACACTTTGGGCACTCCTGCAGGAGCTCATGAATCAAGGGTGACTGCAGGAGAGTCTTGATAGCCAGTGACGCCCGTTATCCTGATCCTGGTGTTTGGCTGAACAGTTGAACCATAAGGAAATCAGAACATGATGATCTAAGTAAGTGCAAATATGGCAGTTTTGATAGTCTTCTTGCTTTAAATGCAATTCTGTATAATACCTGCCGATGACCAATATTTCTTCTGTACTTCTTTTTCTTCTTGTACTTGAAGACGATCACTTTGGGATCTAGACCCTGTAAAAGAAGGATGCACTTCATCAATTGGGAGAAATTTCTTATCTTTTTTTTGGGTAAAAATTGGGAGAAAAAATTGATTCACGAATGCATTGGCATGCTATTTAAAATTCCAAATTAACTTTAGTCTCTACAACCTGCTCTTCAACAACAGCATGCACTGCAGCATTAGGCACCACTGGCTTTCCGATATAGGTACTTGTTTTGGTCCCCACAAGCAATACCTTATTCAAAATTATCTGAAAAAAAATTCAAGAATCAGATATTTGATCAAAGCATAAGGAAAAATATTGCTCCAATAGGACCTTTGGAAGGTCCATGGATCTAAAACGTAAAATAACTCTCAATTAAGAGATGAAAATATTGACATTAATAAATGTTGACAATTTTTCTAAACGTGAAAGGTCATCATAATCACAATACATTATAGAGCAAACAGGTTCTGAGAACTCTGACAAATATCCACGCATGTTAAGCACTGGTAGGCATGGATATTCACTTATATCACATACAAATAGAGACCACACACGCAGATTCCTACGGAATTAGATACAATGGAACTTTCCTTGAGCTTATGGAGCTCGTTGTGTTTTTTTTTACCCAATTAGGAGAGACCTCAGGCAATACTTACTACAGGTTCCAAAAGTTTCTGAAACTTTAAATAAAAGCCGCCATATCATGCTTCATGCTTTATATACTAAAAAATATCGATAGAGTATGGCCTTGAGATTCTAAACTAGATGGAAGTCCTGATCCAATTCCCAATTAGTTTACACTCTCATCTTCTCTTGAACTATATTGACACTACAATCTTATTTCAGCAGCACCCATGCACATATCCATATACAGATACAAATGCACCCATTTATCTTAAACAAACAATCCAGATTAACCAAAGGACATTAGAAATAAAAATAGATGGAAGCATTAACGTCTGACTGAGCTATTCAATTGAAAATACATTTTTTAAATCTCCAGGCTCAATCAAATGAAGAAACACAAACAACATGCAAGTAGTCATGCCCTATTTGCCAAAATAAAAAATGTCTTAACTCTGAAAAAAACTAAGAAATGATCTGAGCAAGAAATTCAAACATGAACAAGTAAAGAAGGCCAAGATCAACTCTCCATATGCATTGGAAAACCTCTCATCCTCAGCACAGATATGCATGAATGCATCTACAAATGCATCGGGGGTGTCAATAAGGGTGCATTTCTCTGTTTTAGTTTGGTGTCCCTAAAACCCAAAAATGGGAACGTATAATCAGAAGAAAAACTAAGAGTAGTGCTTCCCACTGGGATTATAACCAAACATAATCTTTTTCAGTCCGTGGAAAATTTAATTTCAAAGAGTCTTCAATGTGTCCAAAGCTAACACCATCTGCAGGCAGTGAGGTGTTCATCAGCACACGATCTCTTTGAGATGTAAGCATGCGTACGAGGTCTCTGACATGGGAGGCAACCATAAGGACTTGGGCAGAACTAGATATGTGGGTGAGCCCTCAGACTATAATATACTGGGGTCATATGACAAGGTATTGAGTTCTAAGAGATTTCGTCCCGATATAACCATTCAGACTCCAAATGAAAAGATTTTTCAATGCTCTAATAACACCTCAATCTCAAATATAGATCTTCCCCATCATAATGCATGCAGCCAATTATACATCTCAAAAGCATTAGACTCCCACAAAAAGAGGATGTTCACCATGGAACCCTACAAACAATTACTCTAAGCGAATGAGCCAAGCAAGGTGACATTCATTTTCAAGCCTAATAAAGATCAAGAGGAAAGTGCTGCCACCCTGCATTCCCACAACCAGCAACACCAACATATCAAAAACTCTTTATTCTGGGATGTGTCATTCTCCATGAAACATTTAATTGCCACTAAAGAGTACAATCCATCTCATAATATCTCAGCTGCATTACATATGAGCAGATCTTTCCTGGCTTCTTGTGTGTGAGTGGACATGATCTCAAGAATCACTAGTTAGATTTCAGGATGCTGCCACAGAAGATTCGTCTTACTATCTCAATACAATGTAAATTCATCCGATGCACACCCAATTGCCACCAAATGCACAAGGTCCTTTTTTTCCTAAAGAATGTTCCAAAAAATCCCTCCTTTCACATACATAAATGGATGATTATAATAAATGGAAATCGCTGAGTCCTGTGCTCATAAACAGGAGAGAAAAAGTCCTCACCTTATCGTCCACACTCGCACCTTTAAGCCTCTGCGTGTAGATATAGCGCCCAGGGAATACAATGTACTGGCGAGACCCAACCTAGCCAAAGTCCAGAACACGCACACCAGACGGTAAGAATGAGCATTAAAACCCCAATAACGACTACCCTCTTGCTCCTCTGGACAACAGAGACAGTATCATGTAAAAGACTGAGGAACCCATGTCGCCAACAACCAAGAAACGGCGCGTGAGCAAGCCGCCACTCACCATGACCACGGCGAACACCTCCTCGCGCTTGGGCGCGTCGCCGGGGCTCGGGACCGCCGGGGCCGGCTCCGGCTCGGGCTCCGGCTCGGGCTCGGTCGCTTCGGGGGCGAATTCGATCACGGGAGCATCGGATTCCGAAGACTTGGCCGTGAATGAGGACGAGGAGGAGGGTCTAGAGGGGGCGAGCTTGAGGGAGGCGAGGGGAGCGACGGTGGCCTTGGAGGAGGGCGGGAAGTAGATGGAGGACGAAGGGTGGTGGTGGTGGTGGTGGTGGGCGTGCGGGTTGGGAGGGGAGAGTCGGCATTGAGACGCGAGAGAAGAACAGAGGGAGAGCGTAGAGGAGGAAGCCATGAATCTTCACGCTGCTCTGCACTGCACCGCTTAAACGTCGACGATATATTTCAGCATAAGGGCTTATCCATATCCTCGACTCCTTCCTCTACGAGTTCAATTTTTTTATTTTTCTGTTTTTTCTGAGTTGACATTTTGGCCATAAATTTTTGTTCTTCCTTCTCTCTGTTTTTCCCCTTTTCTTGGGTTATAATCCCCAGCCTGATTAAACTGAGATCGACACGCATCATCGGAGAAAGTTGTCCAAAATTTCATAAATTATTGCATTTTTGCCGATACAATTCCAAACATTTTAATTTTATCAACGGAGTTCTAAACTTTTTCACTTCTTGTCAATTGAATCCATCCGGCCAATTTTACCAGGAAATTGCTGACATGAACGCCGGTCAGCCTATGTGGTGCTGATGTGAATAATTTTTAATAATATATTTTTTCTTGTTTTCTTTTTCTTTTCTTTCTTTTTTTTCTCCCATTCTTCCTCCTCTAGCCAGTTGCCCGGCCTTGCTAACCAACCAAAAGGGAGGGCCGACGAGGTCTAGCCTCGCCCCCGTCGGCTACTAGTGAGGGCCAGTCTCACCGGCTCCTGGCAAGGTCAAGCCTTGCCCAACGACGACGAGGTTCAACCTCACCAGATATGGGGAGGTCGACCTCGCCAGGGGCCAGCGGGGGTGTTCTCGCCCGAGGCCAGCCCTTGGCGAGGTCAACCTCGTCCGTCCTCGACTCTAGCCAATTGCCAAGACCCGACGACCGGCTGAAGGAGGAAGAAGGGAAGGAAAAAAAAAGAAAAAGAAAAAGAAAGTAAAAAGAATAAAAAATAAAAGATTGATAAAAATATTATTTAAAATTGTCCACGTCAGTGCCACGTAGGATTTTCGACCGAACTTAGTCGGATAGATTCAATTGACAAGAAGTGAAAATATCTAAGACACTACAAAAAAACACCGGATTAGCGACGGAATTTGCGACGGAAAACGTGGAAAATCCGTCGCAAATCGAATTTGCGACAGATTTTGCTTCCGTCGCTACTCGTCGTCGCAAAATTTTGCGACGGAAAATTCACAAGTTAACGCAAATTTGCGACGAAAAAATTGTCGCAAATTTGCGACGGCACATAGTCCGTCGCAAAATTCGTCGAATATCCGTCGCAATTTCGTCGCAAATTTCGTCGCAAATTTGCGACGAACTCGATCCGTCGCAAAATTCGTCTCAAAAATCCGTCGCAAATTGTCGCAAAATTTGCGACAACGATTGTCCGTCGCAAAATTCGTCGCAAAAATCGGTCGCAATTCATTGCCGCAAATTTCGTCGCAAAATTTGTGACGTACGCTTGTCCGTCGCAAAATTCGTGGCAAAATCCGTCGCAATTTCGTGCAAAATTTGCGACGAAAGTTTGTCCGTCACAAAATTTCGCAAAAATCCGTCGCAAATTCGTCGCAAATTTCGTCGCAAACGTGGAGGTCGCAAACGTGGAGGTCACAGATTAGTCCGTCGCAAAATTTGCGATGGACGGCTGAGTCCGTCGCAAAATTTGCGGCGGACTAAAATTTCCGTGACAAATTTTGCGATGGAAATCTTAGTCCGTCGTAAATTTACAATGGATTTTTTTTACGCCGAAAATTTCGAGCGGTAAAAATCTTATCGCAAAATCAACTTTCCGTCACAAATTTGCAACGGACTTTCTATATCGGTCGCAAATTTTGCGATCGACAAAAATTTCCAGCAGAAATAAAAATTGTCGCAAATTTGCGACGTAAAAAAATTCCGTTGCAAATTTGCGACGGATTAAATTATCCGTATACAATTTCGAACGGTACAAATTCTCTCGCAAAATTTGCGACGGACAGCTTGAGTCCGGCGCAAATATGCACATACTACATGAACGTTGTAAATTTGTGAATTTTTTTTTCGGTCAAAAATTTAGCATCTCATTTATTTGGGTCCTAAATTTGCTACATCTTTTTTTCAATCCAAAATTTAGGCATCTTAAATGTTGCAATAGAAATTAGAATATCGGAAATGTTAGGGCACGTTAATAATATTAGACTTGTCGGCATTTAGGGACAAAATTTCGGACGATCAATTAAAATAAAAAGAATAATCGACAATAACAATAATAAAAAAGCACAATAACAATAATAACAAGAACAATAATGATAACAACCAAAATAGCACCTGTAGCATTAATAATTACACATCTGTAGTGTTTTGTGACAAAAATTTTAATCTTCGTCTTCGTCTTCGTCTTCGTCCTCGTCCTCGTCCTCGTCCTCGTCCTCGTCCTCGTCTTCGTCATCTGTTTGAAAATCAGATTCTGAACATTCTTGTACATTTAACTCGCAAATTTCAGTTGGCTCCACATCTATCATTGCTCCACACGGATCTCGTAAAGTTGGTATGTTATATTCCTCAATTTCAACCGTGTTAGACACTTCCTCCCGTTGGTAGGCTCTATCCTTCCAGTGTTCCTCGATTTTCCTCGGTCTTTGATTTTACATACAGCCCACCAATCAGCTTTGTCACGTTTCAAACTAGGATATGATGCATAACATACTTGAATTGCTTGTTGTGCCAAGACAAATGGTTCATACTTCATATACCTTTTCTTGTGATTTATTTCAACCAAATTGAACTTTGTATGCACCTTCATTCCTTTGACGGGGTCGAACCACGTGCACTTAAATAACACAACCCGCATCATTAATGGTCCAGGGTACTCTATTTCTATGATTTCATCCAACAAGCCATAAAAATCATATTTCGAACTGTCACCATTGGATGACCGAACAGAGACACCACTATTCATTGTGGATTTTCCCATTCCATATTCTTGAGTATGAAAATTATATCCATTTATGAAATATGCTGGCCAACTTCGAACTCTTAACTGTGGACCCCATGACAGATAATGTAGCAATCATTGCCCTCCAATTTCATCATAATTATTGTGAACCTAAGGTTACACATGCAAAGTTAATAATATATATTTAACTAAATGATGTATATAATTTTAATAACTTGGTTTTGATCCATAGGCAACTTACATATGTCTTGAACCATGCTGCAAATTGTTCATCGCACAGACGGTCAAACTCATTTGGTTGTAGTCCAAACATTGAAGTTTGGAAAATCCTAATATTAAAAACCATATCATTATTAGCAAATATTTGACACGCAAAACATAAATTTACAAATTTACACTTACTTGAAGTATGGCTCGACTTCTGGACAGTTCAGTAAAATATAAGTATGGGTGCATGAAGTTCTTCGCCGATAAAGTAACGAACCGACATGCGCCGCTGGTCGACCCAGATAATTGAAAATAGAGAATGCCGTGCAATTGGGATCAATGGGGCCCTCATCATTTCTGCCTGCTCTCCGCCTCTTGCATTGAACGTGCGGTTCAAAATAGTATGATACAAATGTCGTCACTTCTTCCACAATATATGCATTACAAATTGAAGCTTCAACATGTGCCTTATTCTTCACTTTTTTCTTCAAATGATATAAGAATCTAGTTGAAATAGAAAGAAGCTTATCAGGACATATTATATGATAAACTCATTTGAACTGTATTTTAAAGAAAACATTACCTCTCAAATGGATACATCCATCGAAATTGGACGGGACCTGCAACTTTGGCCTCATAAGGCAAGTGAACTAAGAGGTGCTCCATCGAATCAAAAAACGCTGGAGGAAATATCCTTTCTAAGTTGCAAAGAATAATTGGAATATCTCTCTCTAGTTTTTCCATGTGCGATACTTTTAACACTGTCGAGCAAATATCATGGAGGAAATTGCTTAATTCTGTAATGGCGCCCCATACAAAGTTCGGTAAAACTTCCTTCAAAGCTATTGGAATTAGTCTTTCCATCAGGATGTGACAATCATGACTCTTCAAACCTGTCAACTTGCATTCCTTCAAATCAACACATCTCCCGAGGTTTGAAGCATATCCATCAGGAAACCGCACAGATTTCAACCATTGACAAACAACTCGCCTATGCTCCTTATCCAATGTATAAACTGCTTTCGGTTTTGATCCCCTGCTGCTTGCATCCACAGCTAGTATTGGCCGATCGCAAATATCTCTCATATCTTTTCTTGCGTTTAAGTTGTCTTTTGTTTTTTCGGCGACATCCATCACAGTATTTATGATATTGTCGAAAACATTCTTTTCTATGTGCATGATGTCAAGATTATGATGAATAAGATGGGCCTTCCAATATGGTAGATCCCAAAATATACTGTGTTTTGTCCACTTATGTGTACTTCCGTACTCAAAAGTCGTGTCGTACGGGTTTTCAACAACAGTTGGAAAGTCCTGCACACGCTCCCAAATTTGATCGCTAGTCAACCTCAATGATGGACGCGTTCTTTCAGTCCTATTCTTGCTGAACTCTTTCTTATTCCTTCTGAAAGGATGACTTGGCGGTAAAAATTATCTGTGACAGTCAAAATAGCTAGGCTTCTTTCCATGTTTTAATCTAAATGACTTTGTCCTCTCCAAACATATCGGACATCCTAAGATCCCAGCTGTACTCCATCCAGATAACATTCCGTAAGTTTGGAAAGTCATTTATCGTCCAAAGAAGGGCGACCTTCATAACAAATGTTTGATCGGTAGAAACGTCATACGTAGGGACACCTTCAACCCATAGCCGTTGTAACTCCTCAATCAATGGTTGCATATAAACATCTATCAACTTTTTCGGATTTTGCGGCCCTGTCACGATCAATGTCAAAAACATATAAAGTGTCTTCATGCACATACAGTGGAAGATTGTACGGCGTTAAGATAAGCGGCCAGCATGAATAACTTTTTCCTGTTCTCCCAAATGGAGCAAATCCATCGGCACGAGACCTAACCCGATGTTCCGAGGCTCCATTGCAAACTCGAGGTATGTTCTATCAAAATGTTGCCATGCCTCTGCATTCGAAGAATGACACATTAGACCCTCTTCTGTTTCATGATTTGCATGCCAAGTCATGTGTTCAAGGGGCTTTAGACGCATAAAGCCTTTGCAATGGGATTAAGGGCGGATAAAACATTTGCTTGCATGGTTTACGCTTCGATTACGATCCGGCCTCCTTGTTAATCTTGTACCTAGGTTGGCTACGTAATTTGCAAGATTCTCGCATTTTCATCATCTCTCCAATATATCATACAACCCCTACTACATACATCAATCCTTACAACCTAAGACCTAAGTTATCCACTAGCTTTTTCATATCATAAAAATCACTTGGCATGTTGTTATCACGAGGCAATGATTCCCGCATTACTTCAACAAAAGAGTTGAAGCAATCCGACACACATTATGCTCGCCTTGATATTTAATAGTCGGGCCATCACCGATAACTTAGTGTGGTCCTCACAACATGTCCATAGAGGTTCATCTGCTGCTTTCAAGACATCCCAGAACTGATTAGATTGAAAAGTTTCATTATACACATTCTCCTCAAAACCCGTTACTCCTATATCTTCCAATTGTGAAGCATGACTAGTACCCACTTGTTCACGTGTAGGAGTAAAACTAGTATTTGAATGATTTGCTTCTGTGACAAAATTATAACTAGCTGCATCAATCACCATCCTCTCGTATGGGTTCAATTGCTCATAATAGCCATATTCTTCCCTAACTGAAAATTGGTCACTTCTTCCATATTCTTCATCAGATATAAATGGTTCACCATTGGAAGTCCAATTATAATAGTTCGGAGTAAACCCAAATCTAATAAGGTGTTCTCTAACTTGATCACACACAAGAAATTTACCATTACCGCACTTTTTACACGGACACCTTAACTTATTTCCATCCATAAACTCATATTTACTACTAGCAAAGTCTAAAAATAGTTCCAACCCAAGATTTAAACTCATCTCGTCAATCCTTGACGTCCAGGTAAGTTCTTATTATACATCCAAGCCCTTTCTCTTTGCATTGTGTAGTATTAAAATAAAAAATTCTGGTAAAATATTTAAAATATCATATCTATTGTTCTTAATTAAAACCATAAAATTTTGGAAATTATAATTTTTGTTATTCACGCAACAATTAATATCAAATTGCAAAAATAGAAAAAACTACAATGTAAAGAAGACTTACCAGGTGCTATTTGACTGAAATATTTGTAGGAGAAAGTGATCAATTTAATGAGAATTGCAACGTCCACTTGGATTGCGAGACCTTCAATTAGGCACATACCCAAAAAAGAATAATCACTTAAGAATCATTTTTTAATAATTTTTAATGTGCGATGGAAACGGAATGTATCCGTCGCAAATTTGCGACGGATACTCAACTCCGTCGCAAATTTTGCGACGGAATTTTCATTTATTCGTCGGAAATTTGCGACGGAATAAGGTTTCCATCGCAAATTTGCGACGGATACTACGTGCCGTTGCAAATTTGCGACGGATACTCAAATCCGTCGCAAATTTTGCGACGGAATTTTCATTTATTCGTCGCAAATTTGCGACGGAATCAGGTATCCGTCGCAAATTTGCGACGGCACATAGTATCCGTCGCAAATTTGCAACAGAATTTTCATTTATTCGTCGCAAATTTGCGTCGGAAACTATTTCCGTCGCAAAACGGCGTGGCCGTTTGGCCACATCCAAAGGCCGGCGAGTTGTCGCCGGTCGTTAAACCGGTGATGCAGATACAAAAAAAAACAAACATAAACATATATTAAAAAAACGGAAATTATAATGCAACGACGAATAGTCACGAAGCTAGCTATGACACTTACCGGTACAAAAGCTTCACCGAGATTAATATGTGCGTGCGCGGATTTTGCTGATTTCAGACAAACGAAAGAGGGAGAAAAACGAGAGAGAGCGAGAGAGAGATAGGGTTGGAATATCACGGGCGATAAACTACGAATTTACGACGGACGCAGTTTTAGTCGCAAATTTGCGACGGACTTACAATGCCGTCGCAAATTTGCGACGGTTTTATTTCCGTCGGAAATTTGCGACGAACGTTTTCCGTCGCAAATTTGCGACGGAAAATAAAACCGTTAAAAATCCGTCGCAAATTTGCGACGGAAATAAACCGTCGCAAATTTGCGACGGAAAATACAATCCGTCGCAAATTTGCGACGGCAAAACGTTCGTCGCAAATTTCGTGTTTTTTTGTAGTGAGACTCAATTAGAAAAAAGTAAAAAGATTTAGAACTCAACTGGTAAAATTGAAAGGTTTGCGACTGAATTTGTAAAAATGTAATATGTTTATGACTTTTTGGATAATTTTCCCGATATTTCTACTTTGGTTCAATTTCGGGCTGTATCCAGGCTTTTTGCAGCGCCGTAGGTGCATGTTCATCCCATAGTTACTTAGTTTGTGTAATGAAAATTTCAAAAACGAAAGTCATTTTGTTAGTCTATAGTTATTATCATGGTTAATAATTGATGTGATGCGACAATAATTTTATTAAATATTTTTGGAGAGAATCGCATAAATGTGAAAAAATTGGAAATTTCAAACCCCTACTTTGCTATATTTCTTCAATTTTGTGTTCAGTATTTTTTTCAAGAGACTCTAACTTTTCCGGTTTTACGATAAAGTCCGGTCATTTTTACTTTCTAAGTCACATTACCAGCTAGGCATTACTAATGTGATAAGATACCACCACGAATTCAACGAGGGCCGATGACTTTCACCCGAGAAAGGCAAGGGCCGAGAACCGTTGTTCGGGAAAGTCCGAAAGAACCCTTGAAGTAACACTGGACCCGACCCAACCCAATCGTGCGGCTATATCTTGTTTGGGTCTTGTCTCGAGTCGGGCCAAACACACACATTCATTATTTCGGTTCGGGTCGGGTTTTTATGATACTCGACCTGACCCGACCCGACCCGACCCGACCCACTAACACCCCTAACACTGGTATCTCAAAGTTTCCCCCAAAGTGTTGCCTTTGTTCCAAAACATCCTCTGAACTCAGATCAATTTGACTTAATTAATAACCCCTAAAGTGGTGTCCGCTCCTCAAAGTTTCCCCTAACTTGATTAGTGACCCAATAATTCCTTTGAGCGCATCGGCCTTGAATCGAATGACACTTAAATAAATACGTGCTCGTCGCATGCACGCTCTGTCCCTTTTCCATAGTTCATTTTCCCAGAAAAAATGCATTTCTCTCAAGCTACTCACGTGCACATCAAAACACTAAAAGCCCTAAATTTGGACCAACTTTACCAACGAAAAAGAAAGGGTTAGGATTTCTCGAGCATCTATTGGAAAAAATTGGAGATGAAGGATCATTATAGATGTGGGAAGACAGTTGTGATGAGAACATAATGGACCGAGGCGAACGGAGCTACGCGCTTTCTTGTGTACGAGAAATTCGGTGTAAGGTCATTAAGTGCTTTTTTTATTTTATTCAAATCAAGGTTTCAGGGTAACGGTGATTTTTTGGACCCAAATGACCCTTGGAAAGATGCAAATAATGCTGGTAAGCACATGTTCATTCACCGATCATAATTTCCAACACGATGGGTTGGGGAGTTATTAGATCAAAGCGATCAAACTCAGAGAATATTTCGAAACAAAGTCAATTATGAGTGGAACTTTAAGAAATGAACGTCATTTTGATGTATAATTCAGTTAAAGTGATCAAGTTCAAAAGGTATTTTAGAATGAAGTCATGTATAATGAAATTTCGAGAAACAGAACTCATTTTAAAGGGGATTTCAGAATTTTCCGTTTGTAAATCTGTGGACTTCATGCTTCAGAATATTACCTTGTGCAGCAAAGCTAAGCGGGTCCTACTCCCAAATGCACATTTGATGATGGTTTCATATTAAGAGAAAACTAGATTCAGGGAGGCATGAACATACAAAACTAATATGATTGAGGGCATAGAAAGCCTAGCAAGTACGACAGAGTCCCCTAAACAGTAGCAGCAGATGGTAATTTCTGCATCAATCACCATCAGTTATCATGTTCTAGGAGAAGTCAATTGGATGCGAGTTTAAAGCACTCCCTGCCCATCTACATCAAGAAAGAACGACGCCACTATTCTTGAGATGAACAGAGCACGCCATCTGTTACAGTGGGTATTGCTGCGCAATGAAATGCCAAAGCAATTTGGGTATGGACAGTGGCAATTCAGCAATAACTACGACAGCAAGCACCACTGAAGTTTTAATGTACAGAATAGTGTACCTAAAAGGTGCTATTTCGCACGTCCAGAACATCTTAAAACGAGCCTCTCTTCCATCATCTATACCCTACGTTGGACGTAGATCATCTTTTTCTCAAAACCAATCATAATGAAAATAGACGTTGCAAAGGGTGGAAAAGCAAATGCAAGATCGACTCAAGAGTGAAAGAATCATAGATTAGCTAGAGTTGGATATCTTACGGTTGCTAAATGTTAAGCTCAAAATACATCATTAGGGAGACTCAAATTGAAACCTGTGAGAGGAGACAATGTTCTGCGAGAGCTAGAGCTACCATCGGTCCTGAATTCTCTCGGTATCTAACAATTATTTGAGAAGGGTTTGATCTCTAAGTTTGTCTTGGAGATCAAACACTTGATTGTCAGATCTAACGATCCATCCCCACTTGATTGTCATTTTCATCGGTTGGAAGCAAACTTTAAAGTTACTATAGAGCAATAGACTACCAAACCTACACAGTTTGCAATTTAAACTTAATGTACGAATCTCACAACTTATTTGAAAGTTACAGAAACATTGTTCAATGTACATCCAATTTTCATATGATAATCTACAACATTCACAAAAAAATAAAAAATCAACAGCATACACCAATGCCATCTTTTAAAGTTTGTTCATTGATGAGACTTGCTTCAGATGAGACGTATGTCGGGGGAAACTCCGTCACCAACAATCCACAGTTGACCTGACATAAAACTCAATATTGTTATTACCACATGGGGACAAGAGTTGCAACCAAAGAGGACATTGATTAAACACGCTTTCTGACCTAGAGGAACAAAATAAAGGTCCTAAAGAGAGAGAGAGAGATATCCCATAATTCTGGGATTTGTTTTACTAGGAACGAGAGGTATGTTCGGGGACAACTCCGTCATCAACAATCCACGAGTGACCTGATATAAAACTCAATGTTGTTATTACCACACAAGAGCAGGAGTTGCATCCAAAAAGCACATTGATTAAACACTCTTTATGACCTAGATGAACAAAATAAAGGTCTTGGAGAGAGAGAGAGATCCCAAAATTCTGGGACTTGATTTATTAGGAAAAAAGCCAATAGGAATTGATATGCCAATTGCCCATTAAGAAGAACATGGATTTAGCAACCTAAACCGAATGCTAGAAGGCTTGCAAAAGAAAAAGGGGCAAAGCAGAAACAAGTTTATGGCTCCATGCAGATGACACAACTTACGCAGAACTTGCTGAGCAGAAATCTTTTCCTAGGGTCTCTTTCAAGCATCTTCTTTATCAGATCCTTCACACTGTCTGAGATGCCAGTCCAAGGGTCAGACTCTAAATCTAAGTCCTTTTGCGATACCTCTCTGAGGATCTCAGAGTCTGTTTCTGCACATGTTTTGTCAAGTTCAACAGTAGAGTAAGTAGATGAAATAGTAGAAACGAGAAAGAGCAGTAACTGCAACACTTTGCAACGTATTCCACCTGCCCCAAAGGGTCCAAAGGGTGGAAATCCACTCAGTAGAATGTAAAGGATCACACCGGCACTCCATACATCTACTTCAGGTCCATAATGCTCCAGCAGAGCCTCTGACGCAATATAATATGTACTTCCAACAACATCAGAAAAAACTTGTCCTGCAAAGGGAAAAGACTACAATTCGTGAGCTCTCCATATCTAAGAAGAGCTAATAGTTCTTTCAGAACATAGCAAAAAGCCAATCAACACATTAGTAAGATGTGAGAAAGTGCTGATAATTAAGCAAATCTCAATATCTCACCAGCAGGTTGGCTTGCTAAAAGAGCAAAATGGAAGATGACTCGTATGTTAGAAACAGAGTATAACTCAAGTCATTAGGAGAAAACAACATGCATAGTATAAATTTTTCTTTACAACATCAATCACTGGCTATGATGGTATGCCTTGTCTGTATTTTTCGCAATGCCATTTGCAAGAGACATTATTGAAAGATAGTTATAAAAGTCAAATAAAGATGAAATAAACCGTATCTTGACAGATGAATTGGTACATTACTGAAACCAGCATCCAGCTTCTCGCCACTTTGATCCACATAAACAATCAAAAGTAATCGATAATTGCTGCCGGGTTACAATGCCTCTACTTCTTTCATCTCATCTCTTTACTGCATATTCAGCCTTCTTCGCCAATCATACACTCACCCTCAGAAAGGCAAAACCATATCCAGCATATTATGCAAAAAGCATCAAGTGTGATGCAGTTACAAATATTTAAGCACCAGGCAGAAGAACATTTCGAGATAATAGCATCTCTGAAGCAGGATTTGTGCCATTTATGCAAAATACAGAGAGTTTCAGAACCCATGGCCATTAAATTAGTCATTTGGACTTAGATATGGTGAGTCCGACAAACAATAAAAGCATGCAAGAGCCTCCAAGAAAAACATATGCAAAACAGTATATATGAGAACACTACAAGACAAAGAATTGCATGATTCCCCTTGTTTAAATAACGACTAAAAAGTGGAGTTCCCTGCAAAATATAGGCTCTTGAAAGGGCAAATCACACACAAAGTACCAAATAATTACCACTATATGCGCCATTTAGAGCGGGCATCCAGCCTTCATAATTACGTTAACAGTGTGTTAATTGTTCATAGGCACCAAAGAGTGGGTTGTAACTGTGCATTAATAACTTACGAGTTCAATACGAACGCCATCAGATGCAAAACATATTAAGTCACAGAAGTCTATTGCATTGTGATTAGTCTTTCTGCTGTTGGCACAGTACAAAGCAGGAAATGGTGTCGATGTCAATTCATTACGCGCACAGTCAGATTCACCAATGGGTGGGAGGGGGAGATGTGGTCCCCACTCTCTCTCGTCTCTCTCCTTCACGATCCTCGTCACTGACCCCACACGTGTGGCATTTATAAGGCTGCCATTCAACGATAAAAATACATACACTCTGGGTTTTTTGCAAGGCCAGATGGGCCGTACTGTTTTTTCCGGATGGCCTTTCTCGTAAAAGAAAACCTTTCTGCATGCGCATGTGTTAAAAGCTGTCTGAAAAATACAAGATTGGAAGAACGGTGGACCCTCGCGTCGGTCTGATCTTCAAATTGTTCTCATTGAACAAATCCATTATCAATCTTTACCATTACAGAAGTGCTGCATCCACAGTCTTTATGACAGACGCTGCAAGAACTATCACTACGCGATCTCCCTTAAGTGCTTATCTCTTTTGATCAATCTTTACGAAAGACAGAATCGAACAGAATGGCCATCTAACACATCTCGTCCCATCAAGAAACAATTGGCAATGGGCCGATAATCAATTACCCATATCAGTTCATCCTGTATTTCCAATTCAACCACGATAACACCAAGAAAGGAAATAGCAAAAATCCCAATCAACCCACCTGGTTTACAGAAGACAGACAACCCAAAATCGATGAGCTTGAGCTTGAGCTTGGCATCGTCCTCCGTAGTAACAAACAGGAGATTCTCCGGCTTGACGTCTCTGTGCATGACCCCAGCAGAGTGGCACGCCTCCACAGCACCCACAATCATCTTGATCAGCTTCGCGGCCTCGGGCTCACTGAAATGCCCCTGCTGGTTGATCCTATCGAAGAGCTCTCCCCCACCACAAAGCTCCATCACTATGTGCACGGACGTGCTGTCCTCGTACGTGCCCTTGATTTGGACCACGTTCGGGTGCTCGGAGAGGTGGTGCATGATCTAAATCTCCCTCCGCACGTCCTTACGGTTCTCCCGACAGAGGAGCTTCCACTTAGGGATCGATTTGCAGGCGTAAAGCTTCTGGGTGGCCTCGTGGGTGCAGAGATAGGCAGTGCCGAACTGGCCCTTTCCGAGCTCCTTGCCGATAGAGAAGTGATCTTCAAGCCTCACGGTCCGGTAAGGGAGGACTCTGCGCGCTTGTGGGTCTTGATTGATCGCCATACCAAAAGAACTTGGAAGAAAAAAAGAAGATGGTAAAATGGGAAGAGTTGGACCTTGCAGCTGTCTGAAACCGAAAGAATGTAGCTCTCTTTCTATCTCTCTATATTGCAATCGCAATTGCAGAAGAAAAAAAGAAAAGGGTTCTGCGTGAATGTGAAGCGAAGCTCCATCTGTTCATTCATTGAATGGCAAGATCAAGCTCCCCCAGTCACCGCCGCTGCGAACTTTTGTGAAGAATGGATCAACGGCGTGGGCAAATTAGAGCGTGACATCGTCAACCAAGTGGGTAGAGAAGTTTACTATATTTCTACGAAATTTTCAGGCAAAAGAAACCTTTTCACGTGTCTACCACAACATCGGGAATTCGAGCCTCGTAGGTAAATTACACTTATCCTGATCAAAGACCGTTTCACTATAGTAAGGTGATCATCGGAGTTATCAGGACGAAGGCCTACACATATTTCCTCGGACTGAACGGAGATAAGCCCCTCATTGACATTGATGATGATCGATGGCTTTGGTTAGGGAAGTCTATGTTTTGGCAGTGATATGTATCTTTATGCTCTCTTGATTTTCTTCAAGAGAGGTTAATGCCTTTTAAGTGATAGGGGCTGAGGGGTGACCGATCAGCAAGAATGCCAACATCATGACTCTGACCATCCTCGAGGCCTTGCTCGGCATCCGTTACGGCTGCACCTAGCCTGAGGCCGATCCCCTGAGATACGAGGACATAGCTGAGCAGGACCAACAGCGCCAAAGCAAGCACGCCGAGCTCGGGTTTCAGTCCGGACATCCAGTAAATCATGGAGAGGAAGATGATGAGCAGTATGATCTCCAAGGGCAAGAATTTCCGTGCCATGAAGGATGAGGAGAGACTGTACATTCCTGAAGACCATTCCTTCATGAAGATGGCACGGTCCTAGGGGAACACGAACAGGGAGTCGAAAGACGGGAACACTCCCCAGAGGATCGAGATGAAGAAGAGTAGGCCGAGCCGGTGGAAGTCCGAATGCCACCACATTAGGACAGCTAGTAGCTCGGCCACGAGGACTTGGAAGACCCTGAGGCGATTGAAGAACTCGTGCCTGCGTTCCTTGAGGCCACTCCGGAGAAGAATACTGAATTGGTGGTTGAACCAATTCAAAATGCCGGTGCTGAAGTTACTGTTGGAGATATTCAGGATTCTATATATGATTTTTTATAATTATGATATTTCTGTTGATTATGCTTATCTCTCAAAATTGCACACTTATCTCATTTTAATTGTAAATATCTTGATTTAATTGCCTTAAATAGTCATATAATAAAACCTATAAATAGGTTTGTGTACTCTTCACTGGATATACATCGAACTATACACAAATTTCGTATTCCTCTCTTTCGCTTATTATTTTCTCAACTTAGTATCTGATCCTAAGGTGCAACAGGTCGCACCCAAGTGCGCATCCGCTTCTTGTTATTTTTTTTTTTTATCAATAAGTCCTAATATCCTTCAATCAACATCGATTTCAACATTGTTCGTATCATGCAAGAGTGACATCAACTTCCATGTCAACATATTTTATTGTCACGTAGCCTGCATAGCATCCACAGTAGCCTGTCGCGATGACCAGTCTCCTGTCTCGACAAAGCCTTCTCCTATCGCAATGACAACCTCCTGCCATGCAGCTTGCACAGCAGCCAATGCAACCCACAATAGCTATCGGATTTTTTTTTTATCTGAACTCAAATTAACTTTTATACACCTTGAATTTGAGGGGATATCAGAGAAATTTAGAATTTTTTATAGGATATTTTCCTATTGCTGGATCGGTAGCATTGCGGAAACAACTGCAGTTGGCGACGTTTTCCAACGCTTGAACAGCGAAATGTCCATACAAGCCGCTTTTACGATAGGAGCTAACACAATGTTGCAAGACGAGACAAGAGATTGTTATTTTAAAACGTAAAGGCTATCAGAATGCATTTGTGTCACGGTAATTTCGAAATTTAAAAAATCTTTTCTCGAAAAATGATCACTTGTATCGCTTATAAAAATAAACAAACGAAAAGTATTTTTACCATCAACGAAAATATTTAAGCAAATTTTGTTGCTGATAATAAAAATATTTTCCGGTGATTAATTTTTTTAAGCCACATAATCAATCATTTTTAAGAAAATAATTTTTAAATTTTATTCATTTTTCACGAAATGAATGAAGTGCCAATGAATTCCTTATGCTAATACCGTAATCTTTAGAAAGTGCCTTCTCTTCTATCCACGAAGTCATTGTTATGCCAGTGACTTCTATAAAGCGGTTAGGAAGCCGACGTTGCTCGGCAGCACTTTCTATTTTGACTTAATAGAAAAAGAGGGACAGTTCTAAGGGAGCACCGGGGGCCATTAGCTTTATTCTACATGAGAGACACGTACTAATGTCAAGAAGAAAAGGCAGACATTGCACTCGAAATTCCCATTTAAAGTGAGAAATCCTAGGTAGATTAAGATTGTATATCAATTGTACAATCCAATTGTAATGTACTTAACATTGTTGATTTGAAATGCACCAAACATGCGAAACGTCTGTCATTTATAAAATGAAGTTGAGTCTGTACTATCAAGACAATAACTTATTGACAAGGTGGATTGAGGGTTTTCTAATTTCAATTTATAGTTTTAGGGTGACAGTGGTTTTTGGATCAAAATGCCCCAAGAAAAGACGCGAAATGTGGATGCGAGCACATGTTCATTGGCCGATCATTCTATTTTAACGATGATGAGTTAAGGGAGTTATTGGGTTAAAGTGATCATCAATCTTGAGGGTATTTGGATACAGTCGAGTATGAGTGAAACTTTGAGATATGAACGTCACTTCAAAAAATTATTGAGTCAAAGTGATCAAGTTCAGGGATATTTCAGAACGAAGTCATGTGTGAGAAAATTTCGAGAAATGAGCCCCACTTCAGAGGGATTTTTGGAATTCTCCCTTTGAAAATTAGTAGACTTCGTGCTTCATAATGTCACCGTGTGCAGCAGAGTTAAGCAGGTCCTCCTCACAAATGCCCATTTGATGATGGTTTCATACAAGAGAAAACTAGATACAGGAGACATGAACATACAAAACTAAGTATGATGCAAGAGATATTCCCGTGCCTTTATTTTTGTGAGCTTGAGCTCCACTGCTAATTTTACCGTTTCCTAAACGGTGACAGACAAAGTACATGAGAACAGGTTGTGCTGTGCTGTGCAATAACTTATCAAATAAACTTGACCATACAAAATCCCAGATTGATAGCACAGAAAGCCTAGCTAAATATAGCAGAACTCGGTTGCCTGAAAGCGAGCCAAGCCAACTGAAAATTCAAGATGATAAAGACGCAACCTTTGAAATCGGCCCGGTCTAGACTCCTTTATTTTTCTTCACAGAAACTTCACCAAGGATGTTAAGTACCATTTCTGGAGATCCAAAATGTTGGCTATCACAAACCAGCAAATATACTCACGTGGAACCTGACTTTTGCTTCGTCAGTTTTATAGAAGAGGAAAAGATGGGAAGTTTCCTCTGTTTTGTAAGACCCCGGCGCTTTATTTCATCAATTTTTCCACTTTATAGAGGGGAAGCAATCCGTTCGTTCATTGAGAAGAACCGACGCCACAATTAAGTGAAAAGACCCAAATCATTCAAAAGTATAGTAGGCAATGAGGCCCACTGTAATTTGTAGCCACTTTTAGGATGCAGAACAGAAAACTGAATGCATTTTCTCATAAAAAGGAGAGTGGCGCCGGTGATGCTTCGCATTTCAAAATTGACAAATTTTTGAAAGGGAGAAAAGATACATGAGATCTGTGTTAGCCAATGTTACAATTCATGAAAGAGCATAGAACCTCTTCATCACTTGTTGGGACAGCATAAGCGATTCCCAACAAAATTTCAGAAACCATCCACCTTCTGAGGAAGCTTGATCTTGACCTGTACGTCCTAACATCACATTATCCTCAACTATATAATAGATGGTTATATCAGCACCTTACACCGAGTCCTTTACTCCAAAAGCATCAGCGAGATTGAAGTTCAAGTTGCCTCTCATGGTTTTGCTCCTGCCCATTCCACCATCACCCTGTCTCATCATAGCAGTGAACTCCCCATAATCTATTCTACCGTCCTGCCAAACACCATTGCGTAGAGATCAGTTGGGGCAAGTCCAGCAAAATCACCATAGAAGGTAGCACAGAGTGTGGTCACAATATGCCTTAGATAGTCGAGCACCAAAAGTCTATTAAGTCATGAAAATGAAAGGAAACTAACTAAAAGGGCCATAGAAATACATCAAGTCTCCAAACAAAGAAAAGGTATGTAGAGTCAAAAAGAAGATCAATCATACGATATGGCATAATCAACACAAATGCTCCCGAGTAGATTGTCAACTACAGGAAAAGGTACACACCCATCACCTAAAAGTTCAATCATGCATCGCTCAGGTTAACTTTCCTTCTCAAGGTCCATTTCCTTCACACTGCTCCACTGGATCACTACCGGTCAAGATTTCCACCACAAAAGCAATAAAAAATTTTCATCCCTATTCCCTGTCCTTAAGATCATTAATTCTTGAAGTCATAAATTACTTACCAACTTGTCAATACAAACTCCTATCTAGAAACATATACATTTGATGTGAATGACAGGTCCCCCTGTCTTCATGGCCTGAAGACTGAATCCCCGTCACTGGCCTTGAAAAGTATATGTGGTTGCTGTCAATTTGCCTTAAAGATGCCTGAGGTGACTATTTAATGTCTATCTATGTAACTAATAAAGTGTAAGCTTTTCCATCATGTGCAAGTCAGTTTCATTCAAGCGTGAAATGAAGTGCTAGATGCTTCTATGATATTTATGGTTAACATAGATTAACAAAGTGGCGCCCCAATGATTACTTCATCAAAAACTTGGGGGGAATATCTTAAATTTGAGTTTCGGATTTTTTCTTGGGTTGGGGTGTGGGGTAAGAGGGATTTTTCGATAAAAAGTCCACACTCGCCTCATATTTTTATGGGGTGATACTGAATATTTAGCAAGAAGACCAACCAAGATGGATCGTTGGATTTAAGGCGATAAAAAAGAATTTGAGTGAAAAACTATCACCATAGCAACCTAGCATATCAAGTGGAACATAGTGCCTTCCTCTCCTGGAAGGTCTGTAAACAAGGTCACCTCAAATGATCTCTTTCTTCTCCACATTTATCTCTCCTAGAAATTTCCTTATGACTTGGAATCTTCAAAAGAGATGTTTTTAACAAGTTGGAAAGACATATATCACACATTTTAAGCAGGATTTATATACCAACTGCTTCCGTACTATCTCTGAAAATCTAACCAGACTCTTTTGGAGATCAATTCAACTGAACAAATTGATAAATTGTAAGTTTTAACATTTTGTTAAGTGATCCACAGCCTCTGCTCACAGTGAGTCCATCAAATAGTTGGTTTGTTTACAGGGAGAAACAAAGGAGAGCTTGTAAAACATAGGCCTCGCCTTTTCTTCACTAGAGAGGAAATAATTTTTCCAGTATCATGATTGAAGCCAGTGCAGGCTTCGTATCAAAGAAAAATATGGCAAATATCCTTTAATGTGGGTTTGCAGCAGACATTTGGTGCCTTTTCAATAGTAATTAAAACAAGCAGACAAATCTAGGAGAGAATGACTATACTACCTAACAGGGAAAGGTAAGGCTTGAAAATAAAATCATGAGTAACTAGAAGTACTTACATTGTCTTGGTCAATTTCTTTAATAATCTCATCAAGATGAACATCACCAAGACCGAAATCTTTACAAGCTTGCTGAAGCTCATCAGTGGTGATATAACCACTACCATCTCTGTCAAAGTAAGCAAAAGCTGCTACAAGATTCTCCTCTCGCTCCATCTTATTTAGATGCAACGTAGCAGCGAGAAATTCGCCATAGTCTATTGTTCCACTGTTGTCAATATCAGCCTGCCAATTAGCATGCATTGTGTCTTAATCAAATTATATTTGGTGGAACCAACCATAACTGCCAACTGGCTTACCGCATCCATAAGATCCCTGATCTCGGACTCCATAAGATTAGAGCCTACTCTCTTCAACCCGTCCTTTAGTTCCTCGAATGTTATGCTGCCACTATTGTCTGTATCTATCATTTTAAAGAGCTCTTTCAAGCCCCCAATTTCTTCCTCCGAAAGTCTTTCTGCTATCACCTGCAAAGAAGAGTCAATAGGACAAATATTAGAGATGTCAAGACCTAACTTTTATTATGAGAGATCAATACCATACAAAGTTTTGTTTACTTCGTCACTTTCCCAAGAAAGTGGATATTATTCACCTGTGGAACATCAGCTGACGAGAAAATCTTATCTAGTGACAATGGATGATAGCACTTTTTGATAGACGGAAAATATTCTAGAGAAGTGTCAAAGGGGATAAAATGTCCATCCTCCAAGTCCATCAGATAATTCACTAAGACCACTGAAAGAGTACCCCAAACAATAGCAATAGACAGTAATTTTTTCATAAATCACTATCGATTATCATATTCCAGGAGTAGTCGATTGGATGTGAGTTCAAAGCATTCCCTGCACATCTACATCAAGAACGTTGCATCTTCTGCTATTAACAAAACACACCATTTGTTACAGTAGATATTACTGTGCAGGGAAAAACCAAAGCAATTTGATATACAATAAGATTCTATAGACTAAAATGTTTACACTCATCAGTTACAATTCAACATCTGACCAAAAAAAAAAACTGTTGCAATTCAACAAACGACAGCAAGCACCACTAAATCTCCTTGCGCTTATTGAAATCAGCCATGTGGATCCTCTTGTTTACTTCGCTCTATTTCGTGTACAGTCTATAAAAGTCTAAGTATTCAAAATCTCGTCTCACAGTTCCCAGCCACGTCCTTTCAGGCTTTCCTATCCTTTTAATCTACATTTGTTTTTCAGTGAAATTTTAACGTACATTATAATATCTAAAAGGTGCTATTTCGCATGTCCAGACCATCTTAACAAGCTTCTCTTTTATCATCTTACCATAGACATAGATCAACTTTTCCTCAAAAGCAGCAATCATAATGAAAACAGAATTTCATTTATGTATCTACACATATTGCAAGGGTGGAAACGCAAAAGCAACACCAACTGAGGAGTAGAATCAGATTAGGTAGAGTCGGATATCTTACAGTTGCCAAAGGTGAAGCTCAGAAAACATCACTTGGGAGATTGAAATCTATGAGAGGAGAAATAGGATAAATCTCAACATTGCAATAAAATTTAAAAGTAATTTTCTCTTAGAGATCAAACGCTTGATTGTCAGATCTAACAATCTATCCCTACTTGATTGTCATTTTCATCAGTTGAACGCAAACTTTAACTTACTATATGCCAATAGACAACCAAACCTACAAAGTTTGCAACTTAAACTTGATTTATGAATCTCATAATTTCCATAGAAGTTGCAGAGCATAACATATTGTAAAGTGAGTAATTATCATCTACGCCATACACGCAATGCCATCTTTTTAAGTTTGTTCATGGCTGAGAACTGCTTCAGGCGTGACAAAACAGCTGAATCAAGAGGTTTATCAGGGGCAACTCTGTCATCAACAATCCACGGGTGACCTGACATAAAATGCAAAGTTGTTATTACCACATGGAGCAGGAGTTGCAACAAAAGAGACATTAATTAAACACACTTTCTGCCCTAGAGGAACAAAATAAAGGTCCTGGAGAGAGAGAGAGAGACAGACAGACAGATCCAATTATTCTGGGAATGGATTTACTAGGTAACAAACGCGAAATTGATATGCCAATCTGAACCAAATGCTTGAAAGCTTGCAAAAGAAAAAGGGACAAAACAGAAACAAGTTCATGACTCCATGCAAAGGAAACAACGTACACAGAGCTTCGTGAGCAGATAATCTTTTCCTAGGGTCTCTTTCAAGCATCTTCTTTATCAGATCCTTCGCACTGTCTGAGATGCTAGGCCAAGGGTCAGAGACAAAATCTAATTTTCCTTGCAGTATCTGTCTGAAGATCCCAGATTCAGTTTCTGCATGTGTGTCAAGTTCAAAAGTAGAGTAAGTAGATGAAATAGTAGAACTAGAAAGAGCGTATCTGCAACACTTCGCAATGTATTCTACCTGCCCAAAAGGGTGGAACTCCACTCAGTAGAATGTAGAGGATTACACCAGCACTCCATACATCTACTTCAGGTCCATAATGCTTACGCAGAACCTCTGGCGCAACATAATACGGACTTCCAACAACATCAGAAAAGGCTTCTCCTGCAAAGAGAAAAGACTCCAATTGGTGAGCAGTGCACATCTAAGGAAATCTAATAGCTCTTCTTTGACGATATAGCAAAAAAACCAAACAACACATTAGCGAGATGTGAGAAAGCGCTAAGGGCTAAGCAGATCTCAAGATCTCGGCAGAAGGTTGGCATGCTAAAAAAGCAAAATTAAAGATGAGTCATATTTTAGAAAAAAGAGCATGAACCAATCATCTGGAGAAAACAACAGACATTATATAAAGTTTTCTGTACAGCATCAATTACTGGCTGAGACAGTATGTCTTGTCATATCCTTCATGCTACCATTTGTATGATACGTCATTTCAAGATAGTTATAAAGGTCAAATAAAGATGAAAGAACCAGTATTCAGCTTCTCTTTACCATGATAGAAGAATTGGAACATCAAGGTACTGAAAACCAGTATCCAGCTTCTCGCTACTTTGATCCACATAAACAGTTTAAAAAGTAATTGATAACTGCTGAGGACCTACAATCCCTCTACTTCTTCCATCTCTTTGCTATATATTCAGCCTTCTTCTCCCATCACAAACTCACCCTCAAAAAGCCAAAACCATATCCAGCAAATTATGCAAAAAGCAGCAAGCATGATACAGTCACAAATATCTAAGCACAAGGCAGAAGAACATTTCGAGCTAATAGCATCTCCAAAGTAGGATTTGTGCCATTTATGCAAAATACAGAGAGTTTCATAACCCATGAGTATTAACTTAGTCATTTTGGTGACTCCAACAAGCAATAAAAGCATGCAAGAGCCTCCAAGAAAAAACATGTGAAACGGAGTATATAAGTGAACTCTAAAAGACTGAAAGAATTGCACGATCCCATTTGTATCTATAACAACTACAATGAGAAGCTCCCTGCAAAATATAGGAGCAAAATCACACACAAAGCACCACATAAATACGACTAAATGTGCCATTTCGAGCAGACATCCAGCCTTGACAATCATGCTAACAGTGTGTAAATTGTTTAAAGGCACCAAATAGTAGGCCATAACTGTGCATTGTAACTTATAAGTTAGATACGAATGACATTAAATGCAAAATAGATGAAGTCACAGATGTCTAATGCATTGTGGTTAGTCTTTTTGTAGTCGGCGAGTGCACATATCATCTTATAAGATCAAGAGGAGCAAAGCAGGAAATGGTCTCAATTTATTCTGTGCACATCAAGCAAATATAGAGCCTCACACTACGTCCATATTCTCTTTCCACAACCAAATCAGAAGCTTCCCTCTCCCCAAAAAACAAACAATCCCATCTTCCTTATCAGCATCATCATCAGGCAAGAGGCTACCCATTGGAGGTTTGGTTGTCGGAAGGACAACAAAACCTAGAAAATGTCGGACAAAATAGGCAACAGCAGAAAACCCAAACTCCTCCTAGTGTAGAACAAATCCAAGAATTCTTTACCATTACAGAACTGTATCCACAATCTTGATGACAGACCCAACAAGCAGTACTACTATTCCCGGTTAAAGAAGGCAATCTGCCTACGGAGTGCTAATTTATTTCGATCAATCTTTCCGAAAAAAAAAAAAAAAACCAGAATCGAACACGACGGCCATCCGACATTTCGTCAAATCAGCATCAAGAAACAATCAGCAATGGGCCGATAACCCAAGCACCGGAATCAGTCAATCCAGCATTTCCAATTCAAATTCACGACAACACCAAGAAAGCAAACGGCAAGAAACCCCCACCCCGCGGACGCCGAACCACCCACCTGGCTTGTAGAAGACGGACAACCCAAAATCGGTGGCCTTGAGCTTGGCATCGTCGTCGGGGTTATCGAACAAGAAATTCTCGGGCTTGAGGTCCCGGTGCATGACCCCGAGGGAGTGGCACGCCTCGACGACGCCGACGATGGTCTTGATCAGCTTGGCGGCCTCGCGCTCGCTGAAATGGCCCTTCTGGATGATGCGGTCGAAGAGCTCCCCGCCGGCGCAGAGCTCCATGACGATGTGGACGAACATGGCGTCCTCGTAGGTGCCCTTGATCTGGACGACGTTGGGGTGCTCGGAGAGGTGGTGCATGATCTGAATCTCCCGCCACACGTCCTCGTAGTCCTCCCGGCACAGGAGCTTCCGCTTGGGGATGGACTTGCAGGCGAAGGGTCCGCGGGTGACCCTGTGGGTGCACAGGTAGGTGGTCCCGAACTGCCCCTGCCCCAGCTTCTTGCCCAGGGCGTAGTGATCCCGCAGCCGCGGGGTCTGGTACGGCAGGACCGTGCTCGCCGGCTTCGCCGCCGCCGCCGCCGCCGGGTGCGGGTGCGGGTGCGGGGGGGTCGATTCCGATGGCGGGTCTTGCTTCTGCTGCTGCTGCTTGCTGCTGCTGCTGCTGTCGTCGTTCTTCTTCATTGCGGAAGGACGGGGCGAAATCGAGGAGGAGGAGGAGGAAGACGGGGGCGGGTGTGAAACCGAAAGAATTTAGAGCTCTCTCTCGCTGTCGCTCTGTTCTGGATCTCTTCCTCTTTTCTCTCTTCTCGCTTTGTGGGGGAATGGCGATTTGATTTGCGAACGATTAAAGATTCCGCCTTTGCGACTCTTTGTTTTGATTTTTTTATTTTATTTTTAATTATCTTTTTTTTTTGTTGACGCTCGGGGGTCGTCTTCCAAATCCCCCGCGCGGTTGCTGTTTCGTTGTGGGAGGTCTGTGATTGGGGGGCGGGGGTCACTGTCCTCGTCGTCTCGCTTTTCTCGAAGCTCCTCCATCTGCTCGCCCGATTGGACGGCGTGGCCGGGACCAAAGGTCGCCGCCGCGGCTTTCTTTCTTTCTCGTTTTTTTTTCTCTCGCGCCCTTTTTTTTCCTTTTTTGTGGGAATTTGGGTCAAGAATTACTCGTTGTCAAGGGGGCACGAGAAGTACCGCCGTTTTCTCAAATAAAAATTTAAAGCGAATTTGTATTTTTTAAAAAGGGTTATTACCACGAGGATCCGCGACAAATATCGTCCGTTTTAAAATTTCACCTTTAAGTTGTTTTAGCTAGATGATATTTCACCTTTAAATTTTATCCTCCGTTTATCACAGTTGTACATCAATCCAATTTAACGGAAACTAATGGAGGGTAAATTTGTCACGAACGTATCGGTTTGAGATTTTTGGGTATATCGATTTAGGGTTTTTTATGGTAAAAAAATTAGTTTGGGATAAATTTGTCACGCATCAATCCAATTTAACGGAAACTAACGGAGGGTAAATTTGTCACGAATGTATCGGTTTGAGATTTTTGGGTGTATCGATTTCGGATTTTTTATGGTCAAAAAATTAGTTTGGGATAAATTTGTCACGGATACAGCAGTTTGTGGTTTTTCGTGATATTAACCCTTTTAAAAAGAAAATGTCTGAATTGATCATGACAGTTTCAAATAAGGATATGAAATGACCATGGCAGTTTCAAATAAAGACTGGACCTCACCGGTCGGCTAAATATTGTAACCCGATCAAAGGGCATTTTCGTTCAAAGACAATTTTAACCTAAATTTTTTTTTTACTTTTTCGTATTTTTCACAAATGATGGGATTACGCTTATTCCTATCTAAGCCGGTATCGCTAGAGTAAGATGAATGTCAAGATCAGGAGCCAAAAAGTCCTCGAGATGACCACAACAAAGTTGCCTACAGCATTATTTGAGCCTTTTTTGACCTTAGCATGATGTAAAGTAGGAATCATTATTGCTTAAATAGTTCTTTCTCTTTTGCGGGTACGGGAGGGAATTAAAATTAAGAAATCGCGCTATCTTCAGGTATAGAAATTGGTTGAAAAATTGACATTTGGAAAACGAGGGACTCGAATGAATTAAAATCGAGAAAAAGGACATGAACCTAAAAGTGTGATCTAGCTAGCACGCACGCACTTCGCCCACACCTCATTCGATTTGTTTGATCTTTTTTTTCTTGCTACATTCCCGTTAAAGCGCGTACTTGTTAATGACCAGCTTGACTTTGGCGTCGAAAAGTCTGCTTTAAGCTCCGGTAGGAGTCATTCCAGAAGGCAAATTTGGAAAATCTACTCAGCTCCAGAAGACAGTAATTTATCTTGATTGATTTGGCGGACAGCCAACCTAAAGATATGATTAAAGTTTGCGAGTTCAATTGTTTCCAACCAACCCGAACCTTCTCGCCTTCGATATCGGGCGGCAGCTTTGAACATGTGAGCGTGAATTGACGATTTTGCGTGCCTTCTTTTGCCTTCGCTTTATTTTCCTCGGGGATGGAAGAGCGAGAGGCGGAACCAGAGCGAGATGGAACGAGAAGCCGGTGTGAACCACGAACGAAGCAAAGAAAGGGGAATTTCGTAACCAAAATGTGAGAGAAGTTAAGGTCTTCAAATCAAATCGAACACTTTAATTTAGAGAAACTACTCAAACCTAATGTTAATCCACAACCATAGTCCTGATGGTATGGTGATTCTAGGCACGAGAAAGAACCGATGAGAATTTGGCTGATTGAACTGAAATAGAGGTAGCCACATAGCTGGAGAGAATGTATTCAAACAGTCATAACCAGTGCATAATCTAATTAATATACTATAGCTAATTCTAATTTGACAAAAGGAATTTTGGCTGGTTCCGTCAGAGGGACAATGCACGTGGCACCGGCTGAATCCGCCATGCGCATAGATATATCTCGTCGTCCTTTTATTCTCAAACTAGGGGTACAAGCTTTAGTTTATGCGATACTCTGTTGTTTTTTTAGTCGGTCACATGGCGTAGAGAAGAGCGAGAAAAGGGTACAACCTTTGTCCTAGACAAGCATTCTTTTAACAGAAGAAAACAAAGAAATCTGGGACTCGGCTAAAGAGAAAAGAGAACCGGTGCGCACTTCAAAGCGTGTCAGAAAAGTTCAATAGGACTACCCCACGTGATCAAACACAACTCACACCAATTCCAAATTGCTGAGTGTGAGCATGATGAGTGCATGTGTTCACATCATCGTCCTCATCGTCTCGAAGTCATCCCTTCAACTGCGATGCAATGCAAAACCCGGTAGGCCAAGCACAAGAGCAGAATACATCATAAACAGCAAAACTACGCAAGAGAGAGACAGAGAGAGAGAGAGCAAGTAACATGTCCAAACATTATTGGTAGTATAGGGTATGACCTGTATCACACTTATTTACATAAAACAGAACGGCCGGGAAATTCAGCACTGTTTGGCCTGGTATAGAAAGTTATACGCTCTACTCTAGTGGAGCCTCCCAGGTCCCGAGTGCAACTGGAGCTTCATGTTTGGAACCACCTGAAGAACACCTGGCTGGTCTGCAGAACATAAAGAAAGCATAGTAGTGTAAGCATAGCTTTGTAAAACAAGCATGATAATCATCAGCAAGGATGGGAAAGTGGGTGCTCTGGTACTCTAATCTAACAATAACAAAATGAAGGACAGTCTTTGTATATTGACCGCAAAAAACTTAGCGGTCATACATTGCCTTGACCGTAAAAATGAAACCACATGCCAAACAACTCAAACAAACAATTCATTTTGGATTAAGAAGTAAGTCTAACAATTTTTCCCCCCTTGAACTTGCCAAATACAGATTATTTCCTCAGCAATTGTCAGCAACAGAATCGTACTAGGGACTCCAGCAAGAATACTGCCTTACCTTCTTACCTTGTTAATTTCATCAATGCACGAAGCAGCTATTTCCTATAGCGCAAAATTGGAAGTTTGTATATTCACTTGCACCAACAAAATCCCACCAAATACCCGAAAAGCATCTCATTATATTGTTATTAAACCAATTGCTCTGTTTCTCAAGCACAATATTCAAACAAGAGGCAGAAGTCATATCGATGCTTTGTTCTACCTCATAAAGCATCTCCTATCAAGACTCCTTGCGAAGGCTACTACAGTGGGCGTGCAAACACCCTGAGTTTACCAACTCAAAAGCCATACAAGATTAGACAAATAAGAATTTCTCAGGAGCTGAAACCAAAGAAACAGGTTTCTTTCTTATTCAAGACAGAAGGGGGAGAAGTGGCTTCCAAGGGTTTCACTTCAAAAACTAACAAGAGTCATGGCCAAAGCTAGTGCTGGGAGATGCGAAACTGAAGTTTCCACAAGTGGAACCACATATAAAACCAAGGGCTGCAATCGGCATTATGCTTTTGAACAGTATGAAGCCAAAATAATCCGGAACGCAAACTCTACAGCCAATACTATCAATCAAAAGGTATCAACTCATACAGGTCGACCAAAGATCTATCTAAATATGATGTTGTAAACACTGCCATTAGAGCACTTTCAATCTGTCATCAGCAGAATGAAGTTCTTGTTGTCAACATAAACAATGAATAGCAGCCATTCTGCGGCATCTTGTTTAATCAAAGGGCACCAAATCAGAGCATACAAATGTCATGCCAAATACAGCAGGTTCATGTGTTACATAAGTCCAAACTAGGATATTAATAACACAAAGATTTCAAATGATATACTAATCGTAAGAACTACCAGATGAAACATCTATGCTCTTATTGGAATGAATCAAATCAAGTCATTCAGGCACATCTTCTACCTGTTGCGTGACATCTTCAATTGTGTAGCTAGTACATGACGCAACAGATTCAGTAGGCACAGTATCTTCATCTAAAGTTCACATTATTGATAATTTGATACATCTAAGAATAAGGTCTCCACCAAAGGAACCCACCGCAAAACCAGAGATATAACTCGCTAGTTCAGGTTTATATTATTCAAAGCTCACTCAATTGAGACATGCATGGGAAAATACTACGATATAGATATATTCAATGGGAAATTGAATTGTATAATCTACACAAAAATTTATGGACAGAGCAGTGTGATGAGCATACATGACATTTCTCTTCCTCAACAGCAACTAGGGAAACTCGACATCCACATTAGTCTATAGTCACAAATAGTTACCACATAACAACAGCCATGACATTGTGAGGCCACTATCCTCGATTCACTATCTCAAGGGGAAGAGAAAAAGGTAATCTTTAGTGACTTGTTACAATCTAAATAGTAATCGAGTCACTAGAGATGACATCTCCAACAATAAAAAATTCACTAGGCCAAACTCGGCTATAGAAAGAACTGATTGGCAAAGGTAAAGCAGAAAACGGCTCCCAACAAGAAATGATTCTGCTTCCCAAATAACAAACTAGAAATAAAAAAAAATAAACGAACAAATTGTGATATCGCCAACATTTATGTCCCAGAACTTATCGGAAACAAAGAAAGTCCGAAGAAACCACAATCCCAAATCTTTACAGCTCCTCCATACCCTTGCGTAACATAACTAGAAAGTAATATTAAGCTTTGACTCAAGAGAGGCAAAAGACCAACACAGCTCATTCTTCCACGAATAAACTATACAAATCCAATAAATTAAGAGACGAGAGAAGCTTAGAGAATTGGGGGGAACGACAGATGAAGGCAAAGCAGAGTACACTTACTAGAGAGCTCAGCAACCTGCTCTGGGGTGAGCTTAGCAGAGAATCCAGTAGCAGCATTCTTATACACATACAGCAGCGACTCCTTGGCAGCATCTTCACTGAATTCACACGCGACCCAACGTTAATTCCAGGAAGCGAAAAACGAATTCTAGGAGAAAAAGCTAAACCCTGAGAACAATACTTAACTAGGCTCCAAATCGACGTTTCATGGCTCAAACCAAATTAGAGGAACAGCAAAACAACCAATCAACGACCAAACTACAACATCGCTCGAACCCATCATTATTCCCTCGAAACTCAACCTGGGTCATTCGTAACACAACCGATCACGCGATCTAAACGCACTTTCAGGCATCGGGGACACAGATATAGAGAGAGAGAGAGACAGAGAGAGGAGAGAGATGGACCTGCCGAGGACGGTGGCGAGGGTGCGGAGGTGGAAGGCCTCGGGCTCGTCGCCCTCGGGCTTCTCGGTGTAGACGATGTGGACCTCCGCCTTCGACGGCTCTCCGCCTTCCACAACCACCTCCCGATCAGCCATGGAAACCGCGAACGAGGAGAAGGTCGAGATCGATAGCAGGAGGAGGAAGAGAAATGGCACGATCGCGATCCTCAGCATGTTGGGGCTTCGATCCCCACTTCGGCGTCGCCCCTTTATACACGGCGGAAAGACGGGAGGACCACCTTCGGTCGTGAATTCTTAAGGACGAAGGTATAACAAGTTCGTCCGCCCAATTCCCTCGAAAACCCTCAGCTTTATCTTTTAACCCAAACTTTTTTTTATCTCATAAAAAATCTCAAACTTTTACTTTTATCCTAAATTTACCGCGTTAACTTTTCGTCCAATTTTTTAATATTATTTTTATTTTTTCTTTTTCTTTTCTTTTTCCTTTCCTTTTCTTTTTTTATTTCACCTTCAACCTCTGGCCGGCGAGGTTGGCCCCGCCGTGCATTGGCGAGGTTAGGCCTTAGGGTTGGCGGGGCCGACCCGCCAGGCCAGCTACGGGCCCCGCAGGCTCGGCCTCGCCGCCGGGCGAGGCCGACCTCGCCCGATTCTTGCGCGGGGCCGAGGCCTCACCTGACACCGGGCGAGGCCGATCGCCGCTTGCGGGCTCGGCCCGCCGGCACGGGCGAGGCTCGGCCTCGCCGGCCGGCCAAGCTCGGGCCAAGCCTCGCGCTTGAAGCCGGGCGAGGCCGAGCCTCGCCGGGGGCCGGCCGAGGCTCAAGCCTCGCCGCGGCTTCTTGGCGAGGCCGACCCGCCGGCGAGCCCGACCTCGCCCGGCAACGGTGAGGCCGAGCCTCGCTAGTGGCCCCCCTCTGGCCTGGCTGCCGCCTGCCAGCCGGGGCCGGAGCCGGAGGTTGAAGGTGAAACAAAAAAAAAAAGAAAAGGAAAGGAAAAAGAAAAGAAAAGAAAAAAAAAATAAAAAAATTCGAAAAAATAAAAAATAATATTAAAAAATTGGACGAAAAGTTAACGGGGTAGATTTGGGAAAAAAGTGAAAGTTTGGGGTTTTTTATGAGACAAAAAAAAGTTTGGGATATAATTGGGACAAATGCTAGAGTTGAGAGATTTTTAAGGAATTGGGCCCAAGTTCGTCGGATGTCTCTCGACCGCAGAACGCGCGCGCGTGCAGTCGCCGTCCGAGGCCGGGAGTCGCACGTGCTTCGCCCGGTTGCCTTGATCCGAACTTGTCAAGTGCGGCACTGTCCACGGATGGCTGCGCGGGGTGAGGGACACGTCGACGTTACTTTGGTCCGTTGATTAATACAGAATTTTTTGTTTTTTGGGTCGAAATAGCCTTCTCGTTTCGTTAACCAACACTTTTTAGAACAAAATTGATGAGTTCCTGAACATGAAATATCCCAAAGAGGCTAGGGAAGGGGATTAGACGACTGATTGGAAGAAAGGGCCCGCTTGCGATGGGTTTTGACAATCCAGTCAGCTGGGCCAAATGTGTTTTACGATCCTCAATCTAGGCATGTGGTTTAGGTCTCTTTCTCCAAGTACGACAAAGTCTCCATTAGGGCCGGGGTTTCGTCGTCGATCACAAAGAGAGCATTGATCGATTTTGCGAACCCACCATGGCATACACATGCAATCACACCCTCCGAAGATCCTTGAATCAGCGGTCTGTCATGTTGAACTTTAGAGAGGGTTTTACCGGTGGGAATCCACTCTACAATTTGGGTTCTTCGCCTTCTATTTTGTATCGCGACTCCTGGGTTCCATCTCATGAAAATTCTTATTCAATACAAGAGCGGCATCAACACAGTCAAGCTCCAATATGCCTGACAAGACCGAAAGATGAAAGCATTTCAAGCTTTCTGGAGGTACCGCAATACTCCAGCAAACTCCTCCTTGGATGGTAAGTCGGTTTCGAATCAAAAAATTGCACTACCCATTTCTAATGATATTTTGTGGGAAATTGTGATATTCAGCCTCAGGTCCGACCAGATTACTTTTGTCCAGTGGCATAAAAGGAAGAGATGCTTTGTTATTTCTAGAGATTGTTGACACAGAGGGCACAAAGGGTTAGGTAAGGCTTTTCTCTTGAATAAATTCTATCGAGTAAAAATTGCATTCTCGCACACATTCCACGTAATGAAACGAATTTTGGGGTAGAATTCAACTTCCACATCTTTGTCCATAGGGTCCCGGTGTCTGATAGGAGAAGGAAACTTGATTTGTATTTTGTTGATGGTCTATGGAGCGCAATATGCTATACCCACTTTTAACTGAGTAGGCACTAGATTTGTGCTGAGTGGGATGATTAGAATTTTATTCACTATGTGCTCTTCAAACAAGTTATTCAGCCTTTGTTCATTCTAGACCTCGTCTTCCTGATTAATCAAGTTCACACCACTCTTTGAGGATCTCCCTAATTCGCTGATCCACCAATCAAATTAGCTACCAACCACTTGTCCTCACGGATGTTAATAGATGTTCCATTTCCCACAAACAATCAAACATCTCTAGAAGTAGAGTCTCTACCCATTAACATAGTTTGCCAACTCCACGTTGGACGAGATCCCTTCCCTACATTCCACAAGTCTCTCCTAAGAAAGTAGATACCGTCTAATAATTGACTTCAAAGGCCTGATGGTGATGGAGATGGTCTTCAAGCCTATTTGCCCAGCATAACCTTATTGAAAGTGATAAGGTCTTTGAATCCAATCCCACGACTATCTTTTATGGTCTTGTGGTCTAAGATACCTCCCATTTCTTTTAATGTATGCTAGATTTGAACTCATTCTGTTTCCATCAAAAGGAAGCTATCTTCTGCTCAATGGCTTTACAAATAGAGATTGGGAGTCTTGTATGTGGACATTCATATTGTGGCAGGGCTTATACAACTATTTTAATTAGGATCTTCTTACCAGCTTTAGATAATTAACTTCTCCTTCCATTCCTCCAATTTCATATTTACCCTTGCTAGAATCTAGGCAAACTTTCGCTTCTTTGACTGACCAAGTTGGAGGTAAACCCAGATACTTCCCTGGCTTCTCAATAGTTAGTACTCTCAATTCATAAGCCATATTCCTTTGTAGATTCCGTGGGCAACCGTTACTGAAATAAATATTGGATTTATTCATATTGATGGCTTGACCTATTGCAAGCATTATTGATTAAGAACAGCAGAGCTCTATTACTTTCCCATCGAAAAAGAAAATAGCATTGTCTACAAACAACAGAAGGGATAACGTTGGACAAAGTATGTTCAATTCAATTCCTTTGATACTGCCTTCATCTACTGCTCTGTTCAAAAGATAGGAGAGAACATTGGCCATGAATATAAACAGATAAGGAGAAAGTGGATCGCCCTACCTAATTCCTTGTGTCGGCTGGAAGTATTGTAGAGGTTTCCCATTAAATTTCACAGTGAAAGTGACAATGGATATACATTGCATAACCAGAGAAACCCATTCATCACGGAATCTCATTTTTGACATACACGCTCCCAGAAAATCCTATTTCACCCTATCATATGCTTTCTGCATATTAAGTTTCAATACCGCATTGAATTTCTTGTTCCTTGCCTAATCCTAAAGTGATGCAGAACTTGAAAAATCATAATGTTATCTTGAATTGTCTGCCATTAACAAAAGTGTTTGACTCAATGACAATTAGATTAGGAAGTCAGGGTGTAAGGCAACTTATCGTAACCTTGAAAATGATTTTATATGCAAAGTTGCATAAGCTGATAGGTCTAAACTGGTTCAGACTCTCGGGATTTGGGACTTTAGGGATGAGTGAAATGTGTACGTCTTATCCAAACCGGAATCAAAATTACCTGAGTTAATGAAGCTTTTAATCATTTGAAACACATCTTGCTTAATGTCCTCTCAGTGATGTTATTAAATTTGGCCCTTAAATTCATTTGGTCCTGGAGCTTTCAAAGCTCCCATATGAAATACTTACCTCTTTGACTTTCACCAGAGTCACTTGTTTCATTGATATTTCATTCACAACATCCGAAAATTAGATAAGGGCATTGGTCTAGTATTGGTTGAAAATCTCTTATCCCTACAGTGCTATGAAGAGCCTGAAAGAAATCGACATTATATTGCCTTAACAAGTTGGGCTCACAGCTCCAGTTCTGCTTATCAATTTTCAGCATAGAAATCTTGTTCCTCTATTTTCTTTGCATGATAATGGCATGAAAAGACTTCATATTTCTATCTCCCCACTTCAATAAGTTGATTCGCGATCTTATTCCCCGATACATCTCCTCCTGCCTTTATTGTTTCTCAATATCCCCAGATAACGTATGGATGGCTCTTTAATAGAATCTCCTGTTTTGCTGCAAGTTCAATGAGTTGCTTTTTCAAAGATTTAATTTGGCAAAAAGCATTAGAAAATTTATGTTTCGTCCATTCTGCTAATTCACCTTAAACCTTTCTCAGTTTGCCCAAATTCAAATCTAGAGCATGCCATGCTGCTTTCATAGTCTCACTACATTTCGCATCTTCCAGCTAGTAAGCCTCAAATTCAAGCTCTTTTTTGCCCTTTTCACTAGATCAGGTAGCAACGATAGGAGAAACAGGCTATGATGATATCCAATAGCCGGGAGTGCAAAGGCTTCTGCATTAGGAAACATCACTCACCATTCTATAATGCAAAGAACTCAGTCCAGCCTTTGTTTAGCCAGAGCATCCCTATCTCTATTATTCACCCAAGTGAAGGCACAACCCTTACTTTCAACACCCATCAACGAGCATTTATTCAAAAGTTCCCGAATTGTGACTAACCTGTAGTGATTCACTATTCAGGAAGTCAACAGGTAAAATCAAACCTTGTCAGCCGAATTATTCGCATTTTCAACGATGAACCAAAATGTCTACTTCTCGGAGAAAAGCTCTTGAAAGAAAACAATGGTCAACGATGAGAATGCTGTAAAAAAGAGAGAGGGACCTTAAATGTTTTAGATTAAATACATAAAGAAGTTTCTCAAATCGAGGGAGACATGGGAAGTAGCATAGCCCGTGAGACCAAAACCATGTCATGCGGAAAAAAAATGACATGGACAAATTACATCACGTCACTTTGAATCTAATACTGCATTTGATCATTAGAATTCGGATTGGGATAGGATAGAATAAATGGGGATTTCAAATCCTTCACATATCCTTGGATTGCAAAAATGTCTCATCATATATTTGGTGAAACCTAAGATAGGATTTGAAATCTTTGAAAATCC